AACTATCAAGCAAAGCGAAGAAAGTTGTATGTGAATCAGCCTTCACTGTCAGACGACGCCTGAAAAGCCTGAAAAAAGTTCTAAACTGGCATCTTTCAGGCTTTTCAGACTTTGGTTAGTACAGGTTCACACAGAGAAACTTTTATTGCCCATTTTCAGCAATTTCTCATTTGGTGTTGCCCTTCGCGTTCACACAGTGCAATTCCTTTGTACACAATTGTTGTTGTCAGTGAACGGCCACTAGAATTACTCAGACGAACGAGAGCACAAAGCGTGTTGCCTGAGCACGAGCAACTCGGTGCCCTTCCCCCTTCCTCGTCACTCCCTATCCCATAAGTAACGAGTTGCCAAGCCAAAAGTTTCTCCGTCTGAACCTAGATGGAGCAGCTTCTATACAATTGCACTAAATCATCTTTCAGGCGTTGCGGCCATCGTACAGTTCCATAAGTAAAGTAACTCTTCTTCTTACCGTTTTTTTCTGGCAGGCTGTAGGTGTATGTTTGGCAGGCTGTAGGTGTGTTTTTGATTAGTGTATTAGTGTTTTGGTTCAGTGTGTTAGTGCATTTTGAATAAATTGTAATAGAAATAAAAGAAATTGTAAAAGAAATTAAAGAAATTGTAAAAGATAAGAGCACATGCCAAAAAACAGGTGATCTCAGCTGTAGGCATTTTTTGGCAATCAGCTGATAGTGTTTTTACTTATGAAACTGTACGATGGTTGCGGCTTGAGGCGCTTCGAGGCTGATGGAGCTTCAGCTTTAGTTGGTTCATGCTTGCTCTCAAGTGCGCTTTGGTATAAAAATTTATTAGTTTCCCATGGTGGAATAGTGGTGTTATTACACCATCTTACTTTCCAATATTATTGGAAGCATCGATAACGATTTTTTACAATCGATTAAAGTCATAATCGAAAGAATTTGTTTTTCCCGCAGCTGTAGATTCGTAGCATTTTGTTTTTTAGCCAATTGAAAAATAAGCTCGCCAACGCGTTTTTATACAGTTTTTATATCAATGTTTCGATGGATGCATTTCTAAAAGTCTGTGCTGTAAATAATGGGCTCTTGTCTGTGTAAAGATAACAATGAAAGTGAAGAGGAAAACGACGTCGGTGTTGAACCCTCACATCGGCACGCAAGAGGATCTCTCAGAAACTCACACCGCAGCCCGGAAGTGCTGCAAACAAATGCCACATTGAAAACACTTTCTGATACAGTTGACAAATTAGTTCGCGAAACTTTGGATGTGATTAGTACAATAATTGATAAGTATGCAGGAAGCGTAACTAGGGGTATAATTTTATTAATGCTTTTTGTTTGTAGTGAGCCGGAACCGCCCAGCTCGATATTAATGCTTCACATGATAACAGAGAAACCAGCCGGTTGGATCGAACTTGTACGATCATTGATGCGTGTAGTGCCCGTTGAACATCCTATGGGTCCGAGCGTTATAGCTCTACTACTCGATGATAGCCCACTGCCCACGAAAGAGTCTGTATTAAAAGTCGGTGAAATGGTTGCTCCAAAATATGGCCTAAAGAATAACTTACGCAAGGAACGTAATTTATGTGTCATACTTGGCTGCTTAGCAGAAAAATTAGCCGGGCCCAGCAGTATTGCATTACTTAACAATTCCATGTTAAAGTACCTGATTAGTAATTTAAATGAAGACATCGAACCTAACATAAAACTTCTTTCATTGATTGCACTTGAGAAGTTTGCACAGACTAGTGAAAATAAAGTGACAATCCAGGTAAGTTTTTAATACGTTTGAGTAGAGAGTGTTTTAGTAATGATTTGTTTTATTAAAGAAATCGTTGCACGAAATTGAACAAAATCCACTTTTGTCGTTGGAAGAACATGTACTATCTACAAATTTCCTATTACGCCAAATAGGATTTTGCGCCTGTTGGTGTTTAGACAACTATTGTAAGCATATTTATTTATTAACTATATATACAAACCCTATTTTAATAGATAAGACAATAAGCAAATTTATATTTTAGTTCCAGTAAGTGGGCGAAAGTATTCATATGAGACTACTGACGTCTCGAAAGTTAACGCTATGCTTAATACAAAAGATGTTAGCGAGTATTTAAAAATATCACCAGATGGATTAGAAGCGCGATGTGACGCCTACACATTTGAAAGTGTACGTTGCACATTCCAGGTAAAATACTAAGCACATTAATACATTTGTATAGGCCCATTACATTTGAAATACATATATTTTCAGGTAACTAATAACTGTTGGTACTATGAAGTCCTACTGATTACACCTGGTGTAATGCAAATTGGTTGGGCTACTAAAGAGTCCAGTTTTCTGAGCGACGATGGGTACGGAATAGGTGATGATAAATACTCTATTGGATTCGACGGTTGTCGGCGTTTAATATGGCACAATGCCAAGTCTATACCGCACAGCTTGCCAACATGGAAGAGTGGCTCTGTTCTTGGTTGTCTATTGGATTTAGAAAAACAGGAAGTGATTTTTTCTCTAGATGGAGAATCGACTGATCCCTATAGACATATATTCAATAGTGTTAAGTATGTTATTTGAAAAACGGTTTCGACTCTGAAGTTACGAATTTTATTGTATACTAGGGAAGGATTTTTCGCTGCGGCCAGTTTTATGTCGTTTCAGCAATGTAGATTTAATTTTGGATTGGAACGATTTTGTTATCCACCACAAAGAGCATTTCACAATTTTAATGAAAGTGGAATACTTAGTTCAAGTGACAAGGTAAAAAGCCTTACTAGTAAATGGGACTATTTTTGAAGTATTTACGTGCCATACAATTTTATATTAAACACATTTTCTTAACAAGTAATCTATTCAATACATTACAGACTATTTTGCCGCGCCATATTTATCTGGATATGCTACGAAAAGTTAGCGTGCGTGATGACTCCTGTACACTTTGTTTCGATAAAAAGGCTACGATGAGATTAGAGCCATGTGCGCATAGGTAAATATCTAGCCATATGTTTATCTTCACTAATTTACTAAAATTAATATTGAATCCGCAGGGGATTTTGCATTACTTGCGCTGAACAACTACAATTTTGTCCAATGTGTCGCTCCGATATTCGTACAAAAGTACAAGAATGCGCTGATAGCCCTGTTAATGTTGAAGTCACTGATGTGGTAGGCACCCAGTCACCAACATGACAGATATTTAATCTCAAATCATAGTGATGTAAAAGAAAACGTACTTGTAGATCTTTATACATAATGCCTATTACTCGTCAGACTTTTTTTAAAATAAGTTTTAAGTAATCGAATTTTATCGCTAAGATAATAAAATATTTAGTCTCTTACGTTTTAAGCGTAAAATAGATGTAGTCGCAATACATATATTATTTTATTTATGACAAAGGAAATATGCAATTCTGCAGCGCTATTTGTAATGCTTATTTACCAACTAGGCATGACACATCATTTGCAGTGAACGACTAATATTTATCTACGCAGCGCTTGCCTTTACTGCAAGTGGTTCCTTTGATAGTGCTGTAGATAAGCTTCCTTCCCATATTTGAGCGGTATGTGCCAGCACCTCCGTCGAAGTGGCAGTTTTGTGACGCATGAAATAGCCTTGCACCTGGGCAGGACTTACATTTCGACCATCAGCCAACACGGATTTTGCAAATTCCTTCGCAGCCTTTTCTGGGAATTTTTCTTGTTTGCCATAGAAACGCAGAAACATTTCCTCCAGCTGATGTGCATCACAGTAGCCAACGTATTCCTTAACATCAACACGACCTGGTCGTATAAGCGCCGGATCCAAACGATCTAAGTAATTTGTGGTCATAAATACAATTCGTGCCTCTGTTGAGGCAACACCGTCCAGACAGTTAAGCAACCCACTAAAAGTAATACGATTGAGTCCCTCATAGGCTGCCGCCTGTTGTTTAACATCTTCACGAGAGGCAAAAGCGGCATCTACGTCCTCTAGCAATATTATAGATTGTTCTGGCGCAACATTTAAAAGATGGTTTAATCTGTCATCAGTGAGGCCGCGTTCTGATAAATTAAGCAGACAAATACCGTATTCGAGTTCGCCAGCTAATGCAGTGATAAAACTGGACTTTCCACAACCTGGTGGTCCATATAATAAATATCCGCGACGATATGGGATACCTCGGTCTATATACCATTGGGAGTTACCTATAAATTCCTTACAATCGGTAACAATACGCTCCGCAACACCTTTCTCCAACACGACCGATGACAGTGGACGCCTTCGGCGTGGGTGTCCGAATTGCCGCCACTCAGAGCCCATAGCTGTGTACATGAGAGTTTTTCCTTCAGTTGCTTCCAGCGCAAGCAAGCGCGCCTCTTCCAGTATACCGAAATAAAGTTCCTTATTACGACCAAATGCTGTTAACGTAACGCTCTCAAAAGGCAAACCCAAGTGTAAATCCAGAGTTTGTTGCTCCCGCGTACGCTCCACTTGTATCCAAACGCCCTTATAGCGCATCAAATGTTTTCCAATACTAGGTATGAAATCATACTTGGTACGTATTTGGCCAGTTTCTTTTTGCACGAAAGACGTCTCCACGCTGAGGTGCTGTGTCTCTCTTGCTCCTCTTACGGTAATCCATTGCAAAAGCCATTGATATGATTTGTCACGGGATGGCACTTCCAATGTAATCATCATGTGCCGGCGAAAAAGAATCAGCGCACCTTGGGCACCTTTCCGTAAAATTGCCGCTCCAGCGCCTATTCCAAAGAGACCAAAGCCCGCCCCGAAATAGGGATTCGTTGATAATCCACTCACTATTTCCGACAAAGGCATATTATTGGCCCGTCTTATCTAACACGGCTTCTCGAGGTACAAATTTGTAACATATGTATGTACATACATATGTAAATGATTAGTGCTGTTGTTGATAAGGCCGGCAACAGCTGATGGGCAGAACAGAGTGTATAGAAAATGGAAATAACAGACGTTCAAGTTTATTCCACCCTGTGCCAGCTTGCGTATCCATAATTTTGATACTAGATTACTTAGCCGACTGGGCAAAAAATTGCATTCGACGTATCTAACGAAAAAGTAATATCACATTGATCTGAAGTCAAATTAAATAACCGAAACTAGTATGGCAAATGCTGATATCGAATCTCGATCAAGTCGCTGGAGAAAGGTGGGTTTGCTATAGTTACATACTATAAATAATTTGATTCCCATATATACATGTATTTATTTATCTTTACGGTGAATTATTCCAATGAAACTTGTAGATTTACATTAATCTTAACGATAAATAAAACGTATCAGTCGACCCTATCTACATACATATATTTTCGTATGCTAAGTGCGCTCTATGCCTTGTTAGTAAATAAAAATATTTGTATGGTTTCCCTTAGTACCTACCTATATAGTACTTAAAGCAACACTATATAACCAGCCCTATATCTAAGCCTACCAAAAGTTTTTATTCGAGCTATCTGAACTATTCTAGGGCATCAGTGGATATCTTCGAACCAAAGAGGATATGACTGAGTACTACCAAATTCTCTTCATCTTTCGAATTTATTATCTACCATTTGTGTGCAATAGATTACCTCGGGGGGAATAAGTGACTTTATTGTAGCAAATTACGTATGTAAAAATATGAGTCATCTTAGTTCACTTAGGCGAATGAAGTAAGGCTTGAACTGAAAATGTCGGAAGGCAATCGTACATTTTGGAGCTATGAGGAATAGTAGCTTGTTCAGAAAAGTAATTTTCTGCTCTCCTGACACTTATTGTTGGCATATCTCACGAATAAACATTGTAAACCTGTCCATCCCATAGCTATGTATGTAAATGCTCTGTTAACCGAAATAACTATAAGGCTTCTTGAATACTCGGGCTTATTCTTCAAGTTATTTGAAAATGGCTTTATGGATTAGTTTATTTTATTGTGTGCCTTTTACCAGGACCTCTAGTCGTAAGCTAACGCTTATTAACAATTTTGTGGGTAATAATTATANAATGCTCTGTTAACCGAAATATAAGGCTTCTTGAATACTCGGGCTTATTCTTCAAGTTATTTGAAAATGGCTTTATGGATTAGTTTATTTTATTGTGTGCCTTTTACCAGGATCTCTAGTCGTAAGCTAACGCTTATTAACAATTTTGTGGGTAATAATTATAAATGCAAACTAAATTTACTCTGGGCAATTAAGGGTGCTAATTAATGCAAAAAACCTGCTATGTGTAATAGCAGTGCCATTCTATTCCATCCATATGAATAGTAAATGTTTGTTATTTTATTTCATATGCATTTTTAGATTTTTAATCAAAATACTAAAAACTGAACTAACATAACTCTTATAATTTTTAATTTACCCTCTTCTATTAGGCAATGGTAGGTCCACTACCAAACGATTTTCTCCGGATAAACAACGGCGTCGATCCGCAAGTAGCAGCAGACTGTCAGGCAGCAACCGCAGTCTACCAACAACAAGCATATCCACAATATGTTGTGAGTAAAGTTTTATCATAATACATACACTTTTTCTAATATTACTGTCTTTTCAAAGGCTCCAAATTACGTCGGCCGCTTAAGTATCACCTGTGCACAAGCGAAATTGGCACGCAACTATGGCCTTACCCGCATGGACCCATATGTGCGTATACGTGTCGGCCATTATGTCTATGAAACACAAACAGATCCGAATGGCGGAAAACATCCACACTGGAATCGGGTTATACAAAGTCAACTAGCGGCGGGCGTTAATTCCATTTTCATTGAAATATATGACGAATGTAGTTTTAAAATGGATGAATTGATTGCTTGGTGTGAAATTAAAATACCACAAAGTGTAATGCGTGGTGAAACACACGAGGAATGGTATCCACTAAGTGGCAAGCAAGGTGAAGGCCTCGAAGGTGCCATTGATATTGTCTTGAGCTTCTCAAATCAACCAATGCCGCCATACATGTACCCAAGCATGGGTGGAACTGCACAAATGCTGATGGTGCCGCCAGGTAGACCAATGCCAATTTTCGTCACACCGCAGCAACCGGCAGTTGCAAATACGGTGATTACCCCGGCACCGCCACGGCAATTGTCCGAGGAGGAATTGAAACAAGTGAGTATTGTTTTTATCGAGCGGTAGTAGTTCATGAAAAGTGGATATTTACATGTTTTATTCCTTTCGTAGATACACGAAATGTTTCCCAATATTGATAAAGAAGTTGTCAAGTCTGTTTTTGAGGCGAACCATGGTAATAAAGATGCTACAATAAATTCCTTGCTGCAAATGAACGAGTAAGGGGGAACGCGGAAAGCTATTCACATACATACATAACAGACATAGGTACATATATATGTACATGTATACGTGTATATAATATATGTGACCTGGTCTTCGAAAAGGGAGCTTACGTGCGAAAAAAGTTTTCTGTGAAAAAGCTGTTAAAAGTGAAAATCATCTCATCTTCCATCCGAATCAACCAAAAAGTGAAAATTGATTTTTTGACACCTAAGCCCCCTTTCCGTAGACCAGGTCACATATACAAATATTGATTTAGTTTTAATTTTAAGTACAAATATTTTAATGTTTTAACATTGAAAGTTTATTAATTAAAAATTTTCTTTTTAACAACAAACAAATTCATAGAACTATAAACTGAAAATCAAGAATTTAAACAAGTATAAAAACATACAGTTAAATACCCTAGATGCACTAAGTCGTTTATCACTAAGGCATCAGGGATTAGAAAAACGTTCGGGTCTACAATACGTTGATGATGAATATTTTAAAAGAATGCCTTCTCTCGTTCAATTTTAAATACGCATTTGGGACTGAACGACTCTTATTAACAGCATGGTCGTGCAATTTCGTTGGTAAATTTGGCGCCGGGCAATGCTTCCCACATACAGATGCAAAAACATCAAGCAAAACAGCAGTCAACGCCGCATTTAACGCAGGTTCAGCCAACTTCTCAGTCGACCCTATAAGCTATTATACTTGTTTAAATTCTTGATTTTCAGTTTATGGTTCTATGAATTTGTTTGTTGTTAAAAAGAAAATTTTTGATTAATAAATAAACTTTCAATGTTAAAACATTAAAATATTAGTACTTAAAATTAAAACTAAATCAATAATTAAAATATCAGCTTACGATACTTTATACTTGTTTAAATTCTTGATTTTCAGTTTATGGTTCTATGAATTTATTTATTAATTAAAAATTTTCTTTTTAACAACAAACAAATTCATAGAACTATAAACTGAAAATCAAGAATTTAAACAAGTATAAAAACATACAGTTAAATACCCTAGATGCACTAAGTCGTTTATCACTAAGGCATCAGGGATTAGAAAAACGTTCGGGTCTACAATACGTTGATGATGAATATTTTAAAAGAATGCCTTCTCTCGTTCAATTTTAAATACGCATTTGGGACTGAACGACTCTTATTAACAGCATGGTCGTGCAATTTTGTTGGTAAATTTGGCGCCGGGCAATGCTTCCAACATACAGATGCAAAAACATCAAGCAAAACAGCAGTCAACGCCGCATTTAACGCAGGTTCAGCCAACTTCTCAGTCGACCCTATAAGCTATTATACTTGTTTAAATTCTTGATTTTCAGTTTATGGTTCTATGAATTTGTTTGTTGTTAAAAAGAAAATTTTTGATTAATAAATAAACTTTCAATGTTAAAACATTAAAATATTAGTACTTAAAATTAAAACTAAATCAATAATTAAAATATCAGCTTACGATACTTTATACTTGTTTAAATTCTTGATTTTCAGTTTATGGTTCTATGAATTTATTTATTAATTAAAAATTTTCTTTTTAACAACAAACAAATTCATAGAACCATAACCTGAAAATCAAGAATTTAAACAAGTATAAAAACATACAGTTAATTACCCTACATTCATAAACCCAGCTTTATATATTAAACAAGTCTAGATTTTCTAATTACATATACTTGTATTTAGTATTTTTTTAATTATTAATAAGGTATGAGGACTTTAGCCCTTATTCCAACCTGTATAAATTAATATATTGTATTAAACAAATATACTACTATCAGTCTAATATTATAATTTCTGTATTTGTGTTTGAATTGGGATTTGTTAAGTTCATTGATTCATTTTGTTGATTGGCCTTTTTACGCTCGGCTAATTTTTGCTGTAAGGTTTTTGTTGGAGTCGTAGGCTGACTACCGCTCCTAGGTTGCGGCGAAGTTTGCGGTTGTGTAAATGTTGTCTGTTGCATTGCCGACACGACCGGCGGTAATGCGTTAGTTAAAGTAGTCGAACTTACCGTGTTTCCCAGCGATATGGAAGTAAATTGATTAATTGCCATACCATTCGCATCCATTGAGGGACAAAAAAGTGGATGATTCTCAGAAAGCATTGCAGTTGGTGTACTTAATGACTCCTGCTTGATCATTTGACTGGCAATTGGGGTGGTGGTGGTGGCAGCGTTTGGCAGAATATGTGAATTTATTGCGGAGATTGGAGCATTTTGTTGTTTAGCTTTTCGTTTTGTGGCAGCGCGCGGCTTCTGTTGCGTTGGCATTGAAAAATTTTGCTGCTGTTGTGGCTGCTGCTGCTGTGGTGAAGGCTGTTGCTGCTGCGGTGGTTGTTGTTGCTGCTGTGGGGGTGGCTGTTGCTGCTGCGGTAGCTGTTGTTGCTGGAAGGTATTATTAGCATCTTGCATTAGATTCATTAATATTTGCATTTGATGATTATACAAGTCGCTGCAACCAAATGTAGCTAACGGATTTACAATTGGAGCATTCGCGACACTTAGTTGTTTACCCACTTTGACGCCTGCTGATCCTTTCGGTTTATTTTGTGCTTGCGGTTGACCACTCATGGCCATGGCAAAATTTGTTTGTTGCATATGCGACATCGATGTTGCTGAACTTGCATTATAAACAAATTGTGAAACACTTGAATCTGTTGGATTAACGCTGGCGATTGGTTTGCTATTCGTGGCGACGGTGGAAACGATGGGTAAATTTCGGGGCATCGATGTGTTGATGTTGCAAAAAGGTGTAATTGTTATGTCGTAATTAGCTATTGCCTGCGCAGCGCTCATCGGCGTAAAAGTGCCGCTTGTAGTTTCTTGAGTATGTTTCGATATTGCGGGCGTTATCGTAGTTTCTATCGGTAATGAGGCTGAAAGGAAGACTGGGTTCGGTGCGATGGTGGTTAAATTGCTCATTGTTGAGAGCAACGGAATGGTAGATGTGGGTATTGGCTGAAAAGCAGATGCAAGCGATGTACTGGCCGCAATTTGATCATTTTGCATAGATTGAAATATGGCTTTATATTGATCTAACATCTCTTTCATGAAGAATTGCTGCGGAATTGGGTAAAGACAAAAGAGAATTAGCGCGAATATATATATAAGGGCAATTTCTTTTCGAAAACTCTTTACTTACATCATGTTGCTTACTTTCTACGAAAGGTTTAGTTGAATCCAAAATTTGCTGCATGTCCAATGAGGGCTAATAAAAAGACATTTGATTATTCAGAAAAAGAGTTTTGTTGGAAAGTAGTCCAAGTTCGCGTCGAGCTTTATATACCCGAGCTCAATGTTTTTACACTGAGAACAAAATCTTATTTCTACATATCTCTGAATAGTGAATACAAAATTTTAGAAAACTTTACTCACAAGTTGTCCCCTGAGTAAGTGGTGCCATATGGTGTCACTGGTCGACGTCGGAACCGGCATGCCGCTCATGCTAGGCATACTTTCGGTGCCAAATCCACTATCTGCACTTTTGTTCAGACTTGATCGTCCACGTTGACGCATTGTCAAGCCTGGTATATGAATTTGTCTCGGCTAATCAAACCACAATGAAATGAAAACATAGGCGTTTAAAAACTAAAAAACATATAAATTTGTACGATTTACCTTTGTGCTTAACGGCTGTGACTGTGATTGACACACGCCTTGTGTTGTATCACCTTCACTGGAATTAACTTTCTCTTGATTGCGGCGAAATGCGATTTCATGTAGACAAAGTTTTATAGCTAAATCCAGGAAATTCAAATTTTCAGGCACATTGTCAACTTTATTTTGTATGTAAAATTTATATACATCCACCATGAGATCTGTGAAGAGCGATTCCTTTTGATTCATATACTTTAAGCATTTTTTGTGGACTTTATAAATATCGATTAAAAGATTTAACGTTTCAACATCATTCCGATTTTCCATATTTTGTTTCAATATATCTCGCATTATCTGAGCGCAGTAATTTAAGTTTTGCTGGGAGAGCTTAACTCTTTCACAATCTTTAATATAGCGTCTAGAAGCAAATAAAATATATTTTTATAAGGCTTTTGTAGAGGATTAAATAATTTTATAATCTAATAAACTTAGGTTTGTCACATTTTCACTAGGTATTGAAATTATACAAAAATTCGTCATCAAAAATTACGTTCGAGAACGAGTCTTTGTTTGATATTTGAAAAAAAAAAAAATGTACTTATACGGGAATTATTTAATGCACAACTTTATCACTTGATGTGCAGTGGAAATATGGCATTAGAAATTAGTTATTTTGTATTTGTCGTTCTAAAGATATATACTAAAAAAAATATGCAGGTCTCGAGGTAATCGATGCGTTAAAAGTTTCAGTAGAAAGGTAATAATATTTTTTTACGCATAATTTTTAAGAAAAGCATACAGAAGCGGTCAAAATAATAGCAGCAAAATTCAAAATGATGCTATTGGCAACTTATCTTTATTTATTTATTGTTAATAATTTTCATTTAAAATATGGGTCGATTTACATATGTAGTATATCAGATACCACATAAATAAAAGTTTGAAAGCTTGAACAAAGTTCCACAAAAACTAATTAAACTTAAAAAAATGTTCACCAAAATTCCGATTTTTTAATTAGATTTCTTAGAAAGGTTCAAGTAATTTTATAGCTCGTTCAGCTTAAGTATATTAAAGTGCAAGTTTCAAATCGCTAAAAATTACCGTTGATATTTTTGATTTTTTTTTTTTTTTTAGGGGGCTGCACATTTTTTCCATATGGGCAATTCTCACAAATTTTGAATATTTTGNTTACATATGTAGTATATCAGATACCACATAAATAAAAGTTTGAAAGCTTGAACAAAGTTCCACAAAAACTAATTAAACTTAAAAAAATGTTCACCAAAATTCCGATTTTTTAATTAGATTTCTTAGAAAGGTTCAAGTAATTTTATAGCTCGTTCAGCTTAAGTATATTAAAGTGCAAGTTTCAAATCGCTAAAAATTACCGTTGATATTTTTGATTTTTTTTTTTGTTAGGGTGCTGCACATTTTTTCCATATGGGCAATTCTCACAAATTTTGAATATTTTGATGATTTTTTTTTTTCTTAAATTGTTCCTTCAGCTGCTAGAATACAAAATCCAACGTGGTGAAAAGTTTCAAAACAAAACTCCTTACGTTTTAAACGTTTTTACGAGTTTTTGTTTTTTTTTGAAAATGGGAAGTTGACGTAACTTTAGTCCGATTTCGAAAATTTTCAACATGTAGATTTTTTATGCCAAGGTCAATAATTGGACTGAGTTTAGTACAAATNGAAAATGGAAAGTTGACGTAACTTTAGTCCGATTTCGAAAATTTTCAACATGTAGATTTTTTATGCCAAGGTCAATAATTGGACTGAGTTTAGTACAAATTGATAAATCGAATACCGAAATACACATACAGTGAACCAAATAAAAACTGAGACGCGACATTTTAGTAACTTATGGCTACTTTTGTTTAGTTTATTTAATGTTTATTATTTTTTATGAAAGTATAGCTGATTACTTATCAAACAATATATAAATACAAATCTGTGCAGAAATTATGAAATTCTGGATCAGCATCTTTAAACAAAATTTTGGTATTCAGTTTTGTAGCCCATTCAATTTTAGTATAACAAAGTGCAAATTTTAAGTATCTAATTTTTTTTGTTGTTCATATAAAAAAAAATGTCCATCATAAATTTCCAAAAATCAACGATAAGTTTAGGCATGTACCGCCTAAGCTCTTTCATTTGACACGACATTTTCGAAAATCAAAAGAGCGGTGCACATCTGATGACTTGGACAAAAAATGCCTTTGGGTATTTTATATATTGGTTTTTTTTTTTTTGTTTTTTCTTATTTCTTTTTCGCTCTGTTCCTTTTTAATTAACAAATAAAACAGTGGTGCACGAGAATGATAATTCAATACTATATTGTACAATAGAGCACATACGTAATTGGCCAAATTTTCCAATTGCATACGATGTGCTAATAAAAAATATGCATTTTTACTTTGGTGCACTCATCGTAACCTTTTAAATACGTTTTTTTTAAACTATCTTCTACTGAGAGCACATAGGCCTCCCACGTTTAGATTGATTCCTGTTATGCTCCTTTTATGTATCAGAATTTAAAAAAAGAAGTCATGCCACTTTGACTCTTCATAACTTATTTTCTATTGCAAGCACATACTTCTTTTGCATTTGATTCTGCTCTCCAAATACTATCAGTTTATTATAAACTTAAACAAGAGCAATCAACGCACCAAATTTTGCAACGTAAAAATAAAAAAAAACAATAGGAGAGTCACAGTTTTATTTGTGAAAATTTTCCAATTTTATTTCTAAATTATATTTTACATTTTTCGAAGCTTTTATGTACACTTTTCTAGAGTAGCTCTCTGGAATAATCGAAAAACATTCTTAGCAAAATTTTAATAATTTTTGGTGAGCTTTCATAAATTGAAATAAGGGTGGTACGTTAAGGTGATAAGAACTGAGATATTGTGGGTAAGTACTAGTACTAGAAAGAAGAACATCGATATAAGACAAAACAATTTAAAAAGGTGATCCCTATGCTCGACAAAAAAAAAANCACTTTTCTAGAGTAGCTCTCTGGAATAATCGAAAAACATTCTTAGCAAAATTTTAATAATTTTTGGTGAGCTTTCATAAATTGAAATAAGGGGTAAGGGGTTAAGGTGATAAGAACTGAGATATTGTGGGTAAGTACTAGTACTAGAAANTGGTACGTTAAGGTGATAAGAACTGAGATATTGTGGGTAAGTACTAGTACTAGAAAGAAGAACATCGATATAAGACAAAACAATTTAAAAAGGTGATCCCTATGCTCGACAAAAAAAAAAACAAATTTCGAAATTGTATCCTCGTGACAAAACTATCGAAATATCATACTTTAAGATCCGACTGTAAATGCAGCAGATATGACGAAAAATGCCATGATTTATATATATATATATATATAAATTGGGACGCAACATTTGGTTATTGGTATTAGTATTGGCTATTTTTCTTTTGTTTAATTAATTTTTAATATTTTTTAATGAAAGTATAGCTGATTGATTAACGAAAACCATATGAATCCAAATTTTAGACTTTGTGAAAAAATTATGAAAATTATGCAACATTTCACAAAAATTTCTAATTTCAGCATTTTTAGAAGGTGAAAATTTGAAGTAGCTAGGACTTACGATACAGTATACTTATTCATCTAAATATTTACTTACTTATCTTGTTCTGGCGTTTTGTAAAGTTGTAAACCGATGTCGACTAGCAATTTGTGGTTTTTATTTTCATATAACAAATCGATGACAATAGTCGTACATTTGATTAAATGTGATGCGAAATTTCCAGGACGATCAATTTCTGATGATGGTATACGCCAAATGCCATTGAATATATTATTCCATTTTCTGTCGTAAAATACACCATTTATTTGATTTTCTAAACTAGTTTTATATTGGCCCATCATTAGCTCCTCGCAACGCTGTAGATTTTTAAGATTTGGTAAGGACGTGTTTTTGTAATGATATGCTAGACGATAAATTGATTTATAGTGTTCCGGAAATCGTGTGACACACTCTTCTAAATTTTGCACAACAATCTTATAGATATTCTCAACTTTGTATGTCGGATAGGGTGTATTGAGTTTTTTCGAGTCATTCGAAGAGCCATCGGAATCTGAGTCGCTGTCAGATGATGATGAATCCGTGCCGCTAGTAATTGAGGTTGTACTGCTTGTTATAGTAGTTGTTGTAACAGTGACGCCGCTTTCCTGGAAATATTAACGGACGGATTCAAAATGTTTAAAAGTCAAATATCTACATGCAAAATATTATATATACAAATTGCACGTACATATTTTCAAAAATATGAATTGTTATTAAATAACAGCGTAAGATATTGATGAAAGTCACAAACATTGAGAAAAATCGTATATTTAATTAAGCAATCAAAATTTTGGTGGTTAATACTGGTCCATTAGTAGGTACAGGTTATGTTGTGTATGAGGAAGGATTTTTAAATTATAGTTCTGGGATAACACTCGCCGTAGCCAAAAAAAAAAAAGTTTATTTCTAATAGCTGCCGTCCTTCAGCATACAATGGGGACACTCCGAGTGCATTTTTCCTCTTAAAATCCACTTGTTTTTCAAAGGTGGCGCAAAATTGTTCATCCCTTGATATTCCCATCAAAGCTGCCTTGCTAGAAATTTTCTTAGTTATAGTTAAACCGGTATTCTTCGTTCACACGATTCTATACCGATCAGTAGGGCTATTCTTCAAACGAGTAAGCGATAAATACCCGTATCGTACCGCTATCGCAATCTTGCGATTTCATAGCACACGTCGCCCTATGGGGCCTCATTCGCAAAAACGTTGCAAAAACCAGGAATTTCCTGACAGCGTTCGATAATATATGTTAATATATGTTGCGAGTGTCGACTAGTAGTAGATAAACGACTATTATTCTATTATCGCTTGCCCATGGTATTGTGGATGTCGATTTCTCGTTCAATAAGCGACTATGAATATTTTAAACCGCTCATCTTTCTACAACTAATTGTTTTTAGAAGGATGAGCGATTAAAAACTATTCACACTCATTTATTGCACGAGAAAACGACATTGGTAGTAACCATAGATAGTCGATAATCGACTACGAGGCGTTTATCTACTACTAATCGACACTTGCAATAGGGGTGATAATTGTCTATCTGCGGCCGTTGTGATGTAGTGGTTAGAAGTGTGCACTACCATTATGCAGCGTCTGGGATCGAGCCCAATTTTCAACTATGTATCAACAAAAACAAAAGAAAGGCAAGTTTTTTCTAATAGCGGTCGCGCCTCAGCACTCAATGACAAATCTCCGAGAGTATTCTGCCAAGAAAAACAGCTTCCCATAAAAAATATACTATGGCCGTTCGGAGTCGGCGTAAGACTGTAGGTCCCTACTCCTTATGTAACAACATCAACATTTTATGGATTTCTACGCCCAAAATATTGTGGGCAGCGTAACGGATGTTGGACCGAGCAGGAATTTATTTTTGAAGAGCGGCCGAAGTCTGCATACGCAGAAGGAAGTTTTTGGATTGACCAGGGCTATTTTTATACACTTTACTTATAGTTATGTGGTACATATTTCCAGGCTCCATATTTTGCATAAAAATCTGCAGTCTAACTATAACATATAGCTCCCATACAACTGATTGTTCAGATATAAGATTTTTCGTTATAACTCCTCCATTTATGCAGCTAGGAACATGCAATTTTTCAATACTCCCACCCATTATCACATAATAATTACAGTGAAAATTACAAAGATCGGGTCACTATAACCTATAGCTAACACACATGAGAAACTTGTGAAAATCTATGCTGTATAAGCTTTATCTCCTACACCACTGATTGTTCACATACCAGTTTCTGCGATATATCTCCTTTATGCAGGAAGATAAACTCATTAAATTGTGATGTATTGTGGAACGATTTTCCGTCATCCTTTGTCAAATTTGGTTTTTCAGACAAACCGGTTTCGGCGTTGTGTGTGTGAGAACGAAAAATGATACTGAAGATGGCACAACGCCGAAACCGGTTTGTCTCCAAACCAAATTTGACAAGGGATGACGGAAAATCGTTCCACAATACATCATACTCCTACCCTGTCGGAAACACAAACAACTAAAAAGAAGTCATTAAATTGTATTACCGGTTTACATACCGATCACACAGCAGTGAAAATCACTTAGATTTGTGCTATATAAGGTACATTTTCCATACCTCTGATTGTTTAGATCTGATTTTTTATATACACATGTATGTAGCTCCTTTATCTATGTATGCTGTGAATATATAATAATAATGATAATAGATTGGCGCTTACACATATGTTAGTGTTTGGCCGAGCTTCTCGTCTGATTTGTGGCGTGCGCCTTGATGTTGTCACACAAAGCGGAGGGACCTACACTTTTACGCCGACTCCGAACGGCGATTGTATTTTTATGAGAAGCTGTTTTTCATGGCAGAAATACACTCGGAGGTTTGCCATTGCCTGCCGACGGACGACCGCTGTTAAGAAAAAACCTTTTTTCTATATTTTTTGCGATGTTGCTATGACCAGGATTTGAACCCAGGCGTTGCGGAGTGGAAGCGCGCACTGCTTACCACTACACCACAGCGATCGAAATATATACATTTTTTAATATATGAATATATACATTTTTTAAAATGCAGAAATCTGTTAAAGAAAAATTTACAGATGTATATGAAAGGTATGAAGCCTTGGGCATAGCTGAAGACAGCGCTGCTCTTACTTGTTTTAAATACATTTAAAAAAAATGCCCAGTTTGATTTTTGTTGCAGTTGTTGTTTCTCGCAAGAATTGCTACAAATCGTGAACTCCCCTAGTATACCGTTATGCTCAACTCAATGATTTTTATCGATTCCAATGCCTTAACTATTTAATCAACCGCCCTTAGTGTCTCCAAACCTTCGTTGGCTAAAAAACGGCTTTTCCAACACCAATTTGGCAGAGGGCACCTGCGCTGCTATAAGCCGCTTATCTTATTAAAAATATTTAAACTTTACTTTCACTGCTACATATCTTTATATCGTCGTTTTAAGTACAAAACCGCGTATGTGAGGTTGCCCAAAATTTTACCGGAGAGAGTAAAACCTGTCTTATTTCAAAACAGTTCGCTATTTTAATACCTTTTATCTCTAAATATCGATATTTTGGCAGGAATGGTTAAGAACAAATTGTTTAGGTTCTTTTAATAATAATAATATCATAAGGGAACAGTGATTTTGTTGCATCAAAGGTTAAAGCTGTTTTCGAATAAGACCAATTCTTGTTAAAAATTTTGGGTTCAGCAAGAAGGTTTGGGGCATATTATTAGATAATGAATCCGTTAACGCAAAAGATAAAGAAAAATATCATTTCTCGCAGCCCTTTAGCTGATCGTTAGTCACAAAGTTACCTCTTTTCAATAAAATTTTCATTGTTCTCTTGATAATTGCACTGGCCTATAGTCAAAAGATGCAAGGAACAGCATTAATATTGCTGGCGTGCATTACGGTCGCTGGTTCCAAATATTCTAATATTTTTTTAAGTTTAGCTATAGTTTACGAATTTTTGCAAATTTAGGAACAATTTCGGAAGCTCGAATAGAAAAGCCATTATTTTCCATCATCGTGGAAAAATGTTGTTTATGCAAATGAGTATGGAAGCACTGAACAGGCACAACTTCTAGAAACACTAATTAGTTTACTTATGTTTATGCATACAATATAAAAATTGCAAATAAAGGAAAATTACAAAAAATTTTGTTAACATTTTTTTTTTATTTTAAAATAATTTGTTTATAATCTGAATGATTTTCATCATATTATTATCATAAATCAGTAATAGCAAGTCTCGTAATTATTACGTGCCGATCGAGTAACGTTTACCAAAGTTATATCGAAAAACTTAAGTGGATCTCCAGTTTTTTTCTAAAAAAAAATTCTCTTAAGTTTTATAAATAAAATTTAAATGAAAGAACCGGATTACAGAAAAGTATGCCAGGGAGTGACTTCTTTCGTTCAAGCCGAATGCAAAGTAATGTCGTCCAATTGGAGAGACCTCAAAAGGATTTTCCAGGATATGTTAAAGACTATAGCATTTACCTACGTACAGTTACTTTTTCACATAATGGAGTAAACTAAAATATTTATGTAAACACTTTTTGCAAGTCCCCTACTTTCATATAACGGCAAATTTAGAAACCACGAAAAATGGACTTAAAATGGGCGTTTCTCGCCCTAATTGTATTATGTTAATGTATGCAAATACTTATATTTAAGCTTGCAACTACTATTAACTTATCAAACGATTCCTAATCTTTGACAATACATGTTTGACTTCATTCACCACGATCTTGAAAACTGACCAAATCGGTGTGACCAAGTCCATGGTAATTTTAATATTATATAAACATCCGGAAGCATTAAAACGTTTGAAATAAATCTCGTCTCGCTTTTTTGTATTTTTCACTTGGTTGCTGAAGTAATGAAGAATTGAAAATTCATAAGGGAAAGTTATAGTTTTCTTATTTTTTATTTTAATATCTTAAAAATTTGTAGACTTATTGAAAAATGATAAATGAACGTGAGGTACTAAATTTAATAAGCCTTAATTTGATATATCGTCCTGTTTATAACAATTAACGCATTCCATAGATATTACAAGCCAAAGTTTCATTTTCAAAATTCATACACTTTAATTCAATTGCGCGGGCTAAAGATAAGTTTTAAATTAATGTTTCTTGGCCAATAACAATTGGCTTAGACCTAAAACATCATAATATTACTATTACAATAGGGTCAAATGCCTTTTATTTTCCCCCATACAAAATCGACCCAGCCTAATATACATACATACATATGTACATAAATATTCAAAAATCGTGTTGTTGCAAAACCCTCAATACAAATCGAATTCGATAGCGTAAAAAATATTCATATTTTTTTGGACTTATCAAATTTTATGTGACTACTTTGGACTTAGCAATTTTGCACAACACGGAATAAAACGGGTAGAAATAAAATAAGTAAGTAGTTGGATCCTTTCAGAAACGGTGCATTTTCAATTTTCCTTGCTTCCTGCACCAAAAACTAATTGTTCATAAAAAGTTGACTTAGCAACATTTCACTCTAAGCTAGCGATATTTGAAATCAAGTAAGTCTATATCGTGGTAATTTTTAATTGAAACCACGCCATCTGTTGACAGAAAACAAGGCTAATGGAATAAAATTAGTTCCCTGGTTATGATAGTAGTTACTTATGTACATCATAAATAATTTTATTTTTTCGCATTATGCATCTAAAAAAAAAATAAACTTTCAAACAAATTAATTTGTTAAGTCAATAAAAAACAATAACAATGGTATAACTAAATGTCCTTAAACTTCAATATGGCAATGCCACTCAAACGAACAACTCCAATAAGGGTTGAAAGAACCGTCATATGTACATATGTATGCATTTCCGTAATAAGTTTAAGGGTGAAATGTATTACATTTGCTGCTTTGTTCCCCACATTTAGTGAATGCAGTCGCCCCAAACTTGTTTTGTGGACAAAAATTTATTAAGTGAAATATGAATTGAAAATTGCAAATAGAAATAAAAATCCTACATAAATATGAGATTTGAGGGAACCACTTTCAGGGCAATTTTAAAAATACCTGGTAGAACTTTATTATAATTCTAAGACAATCATACTAAGAAAAACCAGAATACTTCGCTGAGCTACGTTAGGGCGACTTTTGTGTGAATCGAATAAAATGTTTACAAAAAGAATATCATTTGTTTTACTAATTTCGGTGCTAAATGTTTGTGGTTTAGATGTATATGAAAATGGGTTAGTGAATGGCCAATATGAATTACATGAAAATATTAAAATTCGATGCGTTAAGAACGCATAAGAAATGTGAAGAAAAATTTGATCAAATATTTTTTCGATGTATTTGTTTTTTATTACTCTTACAGCTTAAGTTTTGCTGCGCTCAAGGAAATTACAACAAAATCACACACTGACGAGGTGAGAAAATATGCAGATGCACAAAAAAAATAAAAAAAAATCGTATACCAGTTGTGAATAAAGATTTACAAATAATGAAATGTGTTTAGTATATAATCCTACATATGTATGTATGTACGTATGTACGTATGCATACAAGTACATATATATATGCTAAATATGTACACAAGTCCACGTCTTTGTTGAATCAGTAAAGCGTGGGCTGTAGCACAGAGAACTCATTGTGTTCAAACAATACAAAAGCATTTCGAAACACTTTAAAATTTTACTTAGAAACTTATGGACTTATTCATAAAAAATAAAGTAGGTTTAAAGAGCTTTATAAAATGACGTTTTCATAAATTTTTCAGTTTATAAACCTTTTTCTATTTCCAAAAGATACTGCGGTTTGTTATTGCCTACCGAGGAGACTGTTTTTTGAAATGAAACTTCTTTAGCGGCAGTGTTCACTTAAAAAATGTCACGAAAAAATGTGACATGAATATGCTTAACGGTTTATATCGATTAAAGGTTTACGCAGTTAGAAATTGTTTAATTCAATATATCGGCGAAAAAACTCAACGGCTTTGTATGATCTTTCTTTTGGGGGGTAAAACCCCCAGCTGCAATATAACCTCAAATATAGGCCAAAATCAAATTTCGGAATCCTGAGCCACCAGAGCAATTATGACCGGATTCAGCACGTCGAAAACCTTTGGAAAAGTATACTCCGGTTTCCGATAAATTTCTTGTAAGCCTGTGCTATCGAATTGTGCTACGCAACGGTTTAAGGTTAATTCTAAGATTGAGAACGAACAAGAACTGAATCGAGAGTGGCTCTACTTCCGCAGTACAGTAGTCCAGGCGCACCCATTTTTTTACAAGCTTTTATTAAGTTTCGCCTGTGTGTAATCAAATCTTGCAATTAATTTTTAACCAACTTTCCAGTGAGCTAGGGACCTGACACTTCAAACTTAACTCAGAAACCGTGGACAATACAATACGAAAGCGAATGCAGGTGTCGAGGTATTTGAAAAACCTCGTATTTATGGTCTTATATGTATTTATGTCCGAATGTAAAGAAAGAAATTTAGTCCTTAGGTGGTGCAGGGGGTAGATTTTTTTTCCACTAACCGCTAATAAAAGCTTGTATTAAAATTGTTTTTTTTTTACTGCTTGTTTATAATTTTGATATTGCGCAGACCAAATATTTAGTCGATCCGCCAGGTGGGAGAAAAAAAAGAGTATGTTTTATAAAAAACGGAGAAAAAAGAGTATGTTTAATATAAAAAACGGAGAAAACAAGTTTTTAAAAGCAAGCACAGAAAGAAGAGAAAATCAAGTCGGGTTTCCACACGAGACGTAGAGATGTTGTTGTGGTTGAACAGCATTTCACAAAATAAAGCTGATGAAGGTTGTCATTCTCATTCTCAAATGCAAGGCCCAGGAAATTTATTTTGCTTAAATACATATGTTACAAATCGAGGAAGAGGGTTGTTGGATACATTTATTACAAAGGTGAGATCTTTTTAACGTGCCAGATAAAATTGTGTCACTATCGTGCGGTCCGGTGTTTGAATCTTCTCCACTACCTGCATTCACAAGACAAGACGAATCACAAGAGTAGATTAAACAAAAGGGAGGCGGATAGATCTAGTGGTTCTACTGAGAGAGTCCTTTGACTGTTTAAAGCGGCGTACCTACTCGCAAACTTTTGCATATGTACATAAAAAAAAAAAATTAAATAAATAATTTTTTATATTTCAGATTCCATCCGGAATATGCCAAGTATATAATGGCACAACTTGTGAGAAATTCTTAAAAAACCAAAGCGTCTTCGTACCACCAAATCTCTCGCTGAACGAACTGGAAGAGCGTTTGAAGGCAGCCTATGGCGTTATAAAAGAATCCAAGTAAGTAAACTCTCTAATTCAATTTCCCTTAATATCCAGTAACACACAATAACGTGATTATGTTTTCTATTTCAGGGACATGAATGCCAATTGCCGCGTTTATGCTCTACCAAGTCTATGCTTCAGCTCGCTTCCACTCTGCCGTACACCAGAACGTACAAATTTACTCTATTTCTCTAATCGCGCTACACAAAAGGAGCGCAAATCGAAAAAGTTCAATACGACGCACGATTTTAGTGCGAGCACTGAAAATCACATAACAGGCTATCGGCGTCCACGTTTTCTCGATAAGAATTTCAAGGATCGTCGTTCATTTTTAAAACGTAAATCTTCCATAACTTACGATGATGTATTTTCTGGCGAAATATCGAGTCAATATCCACCCACGAGAGAATCGGAAAATCTACGTAGAATTTGTCGTGATGAATGTGAATTGTTGGAGAATGAATTGTGTCAGAAAGAGTATGCCATCGCTAAACGACATCCGGTTTTGGGACAAAAATTGCCATTGGAAGAATGTCAGAGCTTGCCACGTCACGAGGACTGCTCATCGTTGGGCATTACTATCGATGTAAATCCCGAACAGGATTGCTATTGGGAGAATGGTGCTGGTTATAGGGGCACATTGGCAGTCTCAGGCACAGGCAAACTTTGCTTGCGTTGGTCTTGGCTAATGAAGGAAATATCCGATTATCCGGAATTGGCGGGACAGAATTATTGCAGGTACATATACATATATGTAATTATAGTTTATATATTTTAGTGGACAAAGTACTCAGCGCAGGTGTTTTTCGTTTCAGAAATCCCGGCAATGTAGAAGAACGTCCATGGTGCTTTGTAGATGACAAGTCATTCGAGAAAATCATCGAGCTTTGTGATATACCGAAATGTGCGGACAAAATGTGGTTCTACATCTTTGTGACGATTGGCACAGTTATTGGTTGCGTCGTTTTCTATATGTTCTACGTTTGCTTGAAGAGGCGGCGCAATGGCGGTATGACGAATATACAAAATGTGAGTAGAGAAAATGCTAAATAGAATAACTAGCGGTAATATTTGGTGGCAAAAAGGGCAGCTGAGCGCTGCGAGTCTGCGTGTGTGAAATTTGTTTTTTTATTAAAAATTTAATACAATAAAAAAAACCCATTTTAAAAGAATTTTTGATAGCAATTTGTCAAGAAAAAAGTTATCGAGATGTCGAATAAAATTTTACTTTAGGGAGTTAAGATTTCCGATTTTGCAAACTTTCTTAAATTGAGGTTAAATACCTAGTTAAATATAAATATTTTTATTTTGGAGATTTATTTTTTCGATTAAAATAATCTTTATATTGGAGTGTTTTTATGAGCGAGTTAAATATTTTATGATCTAAAAAAATAAATCTGGAAAAAAACGGTTGAAATATAATCCAAAAAATAAAAATCCAAAAATAACGATTAAATTTGTTGGGGACGAATTGATTAGAGAATAATTAGAAAAACAGTAGACGTTAGAAACCAATAAGAATTCAACGTTAGAATACGATTAGAAATCTAACCTCTTTTTCGATATTGAGAACTAAGTCCCCTTTTTGTAGAGAATGCTACAATTCTCGACAGTCTCTCTAATCGTTTTCTAATCTTCTACCTAGTGATGGCAAGATTAATCAAATGAATAACGTTAAACGAGTCATTTTTTCAGATTTTTCCAGATTAAAATCGAATCAGTTTTTTTTTCTGATTAATCGTCATGAATCATTAATCGATTAATCACGAAAATAATTGAAATTATAACAAGTTTAAACATGGCTGTCACTCAACATTTTCTTCATATCAGAACATGTATTACCATCTCGCTTCAAAGCTATACCAAAATGGCAACTCAGCTTGTAAGTAAAACAACCCTGCTATTTCTTAAATTCTTTGGAAAGGAATCTTTGGAAAATTATTTTGATTTATGGGCTCTTCATAAATCATTAGTTCATAACATTCCATTTCCTCAAGACGAGCTAAGCTTTTATTTGAATTGACAAGTTTTAGACTGGAAACGAAACACTGTTGAAGCATGGGAAGAAATCAAGACTGTTTATATAAAATTTTATCTGCTTTCCCACAATTATTCGCACTTGATTTGTACATTAGTACACGCAGAACGCATTTTGTTTAGAGCCGGAAAGCCGAAGCAGATTGACATTGAAAATGCTGTCAAAATTACTTTTTTACAAGCTTATTCACATCAAATGTTGTAAGTGAATTCTTTTTCATACGATTATAATTAATAAACAAACTTGAAAACGGGTTATCTCATTATTTTAATATTGAAAATAAAAATAATCGAAAAAATCGACTAATCGATTAATATCTTATAATTAATTGCAATTAATTTTTCGGCCCCAAAGAGACTCATTTGAATTCGAATCGTTTTCTAACTTAAATGTTTGTTGGGTAAAGATTACAACCGTTATGGTCTCTGCACTTATCTCTTAAATCAGCTTTTTTACGAGATTCCAATTTCTTAATATTAATTTCAGAAGAAATATCGCCCATTAAATAATATATAACTAGGTGCGTTCGACAAGTCAAAAATTTGTAATAGTTTTTCCAAATTTTTACTGGATGGCGTTCGATAACGACAAAAAATTATCCAACACACAAAAATTGAGAGAGCCAGTGTTCATTTTTATGCAAGAGAAGCGTTCATTTTGTACTGGCAAAATTTTAGTCAGCAAAAATTATCCAACACGAAAACATATGATCACAAAACATATGGTTGCAATTTTTGTAAACAAACAAAATTGCATTTTCCGAGTTTTGGTATTTATATTTACATTGAACGTTCACTTTCCTTTTTTCTTCTATGGAGGCAACATGAATTTCAGTTTGCTTACAAATAAGGTCGGTGTTATGCAGACAAACTTTTGTTTGCCAAATTAAATGGCGGCTGCTTAGTTTGCTCGGAGGTGGTTATGTCGAGTTTGGCACAGGGTTGCACGTTCATTATGGTTTTCATGGCTATTGCCAACACGAAATGAGAATTTCAGATGTACATAACGCGCAAAATTTAAAATTTTTTCTATGGCAACACCGAATTTGCTGCAGTTTGACCAAACAAAATTAGTTTGCTGTGAGAGTCGCCAAACTCGCTCTCTCCGAGTTTGCTGCAACAACAATTGCACGCAGTTTGCCAAACAAAATTTCTGCATAACACCGACCTAAGACATAGACAAAGTCAGCTGGTGTGTCTTCTTCTTCCGGTTTTTGCAAGTAATGGCTAATTTCCTGTTCGTTTACTTTTTTGCTTTTTCATCTCTTTGGGAGAGAATTTTCGCTTACTCTCTTGATTTTGAGTGTTGGCTAATTTTGTTATCGAACGCAACTACTAAAAATGCTACTTATTTGCAGATCAACACACCAAACGCTGATAAAAATATCTATGGAAATTCGCAAGTGAATTCATCGTTGGAAATGACTCGCTTGAATAGCAACACAAACAATGAACAGCCGTCAATGTTCTCACAAAATCTGGAGCGAAGTTCATTACTCAGAGTGCCACAATACACGCTGCAAGATATGGAGTTTGTGGAAGAGTTGGGAGAGGGGGCATTTGGTATGCTACATTGCATGTTTTCACACTCCTTTTTGAATTTAGCTAAACCACTTTTTTTTTTATAGGCAAAGTGTACAAAGGGCAACTGACACAAATCAATGGCGATAAGATATTTGTAGCCGTCAAAGCATTGAAAGAAAATGCATCGCTTAAAACGCAACAGGATTTCAGACGTGAAATTGAACTTATATCGGATTTGAAACACGACAATATCGTTTGCATTTTGGGCGTAGTACTCAATAAAGAGCCATATTGCATGCTATTTGAATACATGTCAAATGGAGATCTACACGAATTTCTTATCGCCAACTCCCCCAGCGAAAATAAATCGCTGACACAATTGGAATTTTTAAAGATATCATTGCAGATTAGTGAAGGCATGGAATATCTATCCGGCCATCATTATGTGCATCGCGACTTGGCTGCGCGAAATTGCTTGGTTGGCGATAAACTCACAGTGAAAATATCTGATTTTGGACTTTCACGAGATATTTACAGCTCAGATTATTACAGGTAAATGTTCTGCAAAATTGATATACGAGTTACAGAAGGTAGCTTTTGATACATCGGAATTAACTTCGAATTCGATAACAATATTCTTACAGGGTACAATCAAAATCGCTTTTGCCAGTGAGATGGATGCCGTCCGAATCGATTTTATATGGCAAATTCACCACTGAGAGTGACGTCTGGTCATTTGGCGTTGTATTATGGGAAATATATAGTTATGGCATGCAGGTTTGTTTAGCTTTAACTTCATACATATAAAAATAAATGCTGACAAGTGCATTTAACATTTCAGCCGTATTATGGTCACAGTAATCAGGAGGTTATAAATTTGGTACGCTCGCGCCAATTACTTTCATGTCCTGAGGCATGCCCAACAGCTGTTTATTCGCTTATGATCGAGTGTTGGCACGAACAGTCCGTCAGAAGACCTTCCTTCTCAGAAATCGCACATCGTTTGAAGGTGTGGCATCAAGGGCAACTCAAATTGAATTCCACACCGACACTATCAATTAAAGCTTCCCCGAATACTTGAAATTTAGTTTAACCAAAAATAATTGTACTTTTTTTATTACATAAGAAAAAATTAAGTAGTCTTTTGGTAGTATTTGTACATTTATACGTATATTGTATAACACATAAGGGAAAGACGAACACACATTTCATGCACATATAAGGATATTGAAAAATACATTAGTAAACTCATTCAAAATTTCTTGAAAATATATTAAAATGATTTTTATTAAATGAAAAATAATTTGTAATTTTTTAATCTGCAATGCGAGATGGGTATAAGCAGAGTGATAGGGTAAAGAATTGGCGTGGTAAGTCTTTTATAATTTGTTTTTAACCGACTTCCAAAAAGGAGGAGGTTATCAGTTCGTCGGAATATTTTATTTTTTATTTTTTTTTGTATGTATGTTACCGCATAACTTTGGACCACGTCAACCGGTTTCGATAATTTCGATTTTGCTTAGGAAAGGTAGTGTCTCAGTGGTGGTCTCATACTAATCTGGTTTACATCCGATCATTGGATCATGAAAAAACTAACGGTACTCCAAAATTTGTATATGAGAATTGAAGTCGGTTTTGTTTTTTTGTCATCATTTCACTGATTATTTCGTTATTAATCTTGTACATAGATATATGATAAAAAGTAAAAAAAAAAAATTTTAAAAATTTGATCGTAGGAACACTGAGAAATAAGTAAAATATTTGCATTGCCCCATTGAAACTCAAAATTTTGTAGTTGAAAATAGTATGCTTCAAAATTCATTCAACTTGTCCATGCAATTCGCGGTCAGATTGAGAAAAAGAAATTTTGTTTCCACGTGTGTACAGCCAGAAAAAAACTTTTCGGAAATCAGTTCCAGAAATAAAATTTGCAGGATGTGACTGCAACTGAAAGAACGCAAATCGATTTCGAAAATACATTTCTACCTGCTCATGCTGCACTAGCAATTTGAATATCGGTTGCAAGTGACAAATAATAACGGATAATTTTGAATAAAATATCAACAGCTTTTAATTAATTATTTTTCGGAAATTAATCGTTAATTAATTTTGAAATTGAAAATTAAATTAATTATAACCAAACAAACAACCAGTAAAGCGCTCCCGGTTGCATTTCAGTATCGAAAGATTGGAAGAAATTCATTAGCTATGTGAACTGCCAAAAAGCGATCAGAATTTTTTTTCGGCAATTCGCCTTTGGGAAATAAAAAACCTCTTCCGAAAGATACTTTACAATGAGAGGTGTGATTGCTTATGAAATTGCTTTCTGAAATATCTCAATTTGGCAGCTTTTTCGAAATAAATTGTATTGCCACGCCAGATAGAAATTCTTTTCTGCGTCACAGGGATGCTTTTGACCGACATCGAAGTTAATTCTGTGATTTTGAATAGAAGTAACCACATTGACAACGCATGCATTGCCGCAACTGATAAAAATTGCCCTACTTTCAACTTTTGACGCGCGTCAATGCGCAAAACAACAATGTATGGAATGAATTCAAACCAGCTGACTCTTGGCCAATCAAAATTAGCCGATTTGTTTGCGCCAACATTTTCATTGTGCCGCCTCGCCATGTTATGTGCATCTTGTCAATCAAAAGCGNGTATGGAATGAATTCAAACCAGCTGACTCTTGGCCAATCAAAATGAGCCGATTTGTTTGCGCCAACATTTTCATTGTGCCGCCTCGCCATGTTATGTGCATCTTGTCAATCAAAAGCGCAGAAAAGAATTTCTATCTAGCGGGGCCTTAAATCGTACTGAAAAAAAGTACAGTTGTACTTCAAATGTCATCACAGCTGTATATAAGCTTAACAGTACATATCATAGAATGTATAGTATACAGAACGATGTAAATCCGCAGTGCCACTGTTGGTTGGTTTGCATGTGAAAAAGGAGTTAGTTTGCATAAGAAAACCGGCAAACTTTTTTTTAGTTTCACTTTTATTTCGACATGTTTTGATAAAAAAAAAAATACTGATAAAAATTAAATTTTTCATAAAAACAGGGTTGAAATCTTGAAATTCCTGCCCGTATTTTGTTTGTAAGTCAAATATGAGTGGCATTGTGCTACTATGATAGCACGGCCGAGTAATCATAGTCAACTTATGTACAGTAGTCGAAAAAATTATAGCCGCACCAAATTTTGACAAGTTTTAAAATATTATTTTTGTTGTTATTTAATTTCGGTTAGTTTTTTATAGTTCGTTCTTTACCGAATTCCGTATAAATACAAGTTTGAAGGCAGTGTAATTGAACACCCAAAATATTTTTCACTATCCCAATCACGAAAATTACTTTATTGAAATTTTTCAACAGAATATTGTACTAATCTTTTGACTACAAAAAAAAATGTCCCATTTTTTTTACCAATAGCCTAATATAAAAATTTACAAATCTGTACAAATGTACCAATCGAGTGACACTGCCTTAAAAATTTATGCAATTTAAAAAAAANCGTTTCAAATGGCTAAAAATGTCGATTGATTTTTTTTTAATTTTTAAAAGTTCGAAATTTGTACGAAAGTTTGTTGAATTTTTTTTTAATAATGTACAAATGAGTAGTCCACTTGGCAAACAGGGTTATGTGTTTTTATAATAGTAAGCCATAAATTTAAAAAAACCTACAACAACAAGTAACATCCAAATTGTATTTTTCCCCTTACTATCTGAAAATTTGGATAACCAAGACCCTAATAACATTAAAAAGCAATATCATAGTGTGGTAGTTTTTGCAATATTTTTTTTTATAAAAATTGAATATAGCAAGTTTTGAAGCAATAACTTTTACATAGCTATCTTTTTTTAGGTTTTAGGGGCAGTGCAAGGGGGTCTTAAAAGTGGAATTTTCAATATTTTCAAAAGCTTATTTTTCGAAAATTAATGATAAAGATAATTGAAATACCTTTCATTATATATGTATGTATATCTATAAAAATAATACATACAAATTTCGAGAAAAACGTAATTGTTTTTCTTAAAAAAAAAAAATACGTAATCCATTATAAGATATGTATGTATATCAAAAACATACATTTTTATTAAAAATGGCTATAATTTCGTTTTCTTAGTTTTCTCGGAATATGTGTAACTTATATGTACATATATATATATGTATACATATCAAATGAAAGGTATTTCAATTCCCTTTCCAACCATATCCATTTTGAAAATCGGGTCAATAATTTTCGAAATATAAACTTTTTAAAATAGGAAATATTCTACTTTTACCACCCCCTAGCGCCGCCCCTAATAATTTGCACCAATATTTTTTATACCGTTAGAATCAATGGAAGAAGTCGAACCATGCCCAAACAATTTACGTAGTGAAATGAACTCGCAACGTTTTAGCAGTAGGTTTCCTAAATTATACCAGTGCTAGAAATTTTCAGTGGAATATTAGTTTAGGTACTAAAATTTAGGTCAACTCGCACACAGCCTTACAAATCGATTTGGCTTCGAAATAGATATATATTACCCAAGCGAAAGAGTTGTTTTGTCCAAAATTGGTTTGGTAGGTGGCACAAACAATAGTTTCAGAGTATTCTAAATAGTATAGATATCTAAAAGAATTCATAAAGAAATTATTATTTCCTTTCAAATCAATTTTAAATTTATCGGCTTGTTCGAATTTAATATCACAAAATTTTGTTCGGAAAATTTGTAATTTTAAGTCTGATAAATTTTAGAATTGATTGGTGAGACTGGGAATGAGTGCACTGTGCACAGGTCGATTTTTGTACGAAATTTCGGAAGAACAAAATAAAATGCTGTAACGTGAAACATTTTTTCAGATTTTCTTCAAGAAATTGTTCAGAAATATTTTTTCAAGTGCATGTTAATAACTAAATATGATTTTCTTTGAAGATTCGTAAAGAAATTGTTGGAGAATTCGGAAAAAAAACTTTCGAAACACTTAACGATTTCGTTACGATTTACTGCCCGAGACACAAATTTATTTGAAACAATTTTTCCGTAGATGCTGGTGAACTCGACTTAAAAAAAAATCCTTTCGAATTCGAATAGCTACGAATCGTTCCCACGACAGTCGGGTCTACGTAACCGGAATGACCCAGATTTATATCTGGCCTAGGACTGTCACTTCAGCAAAACTGTCCAAAAACTCTTTGGGGAATTTGTATGCTCTTACAACACCAACAATACCTAAGAATACATTGAATATACATTAGACTACATCACTCCCCATACAAAAAAAAAATCGCTACTATTTTTCCATTGGAATTATAAAATCTATTATATTTTAAAACGTCCACCAAAATATTTCGGAAAAATATTAAGATTTAAGTGAGCTGGACCGATTTGAAAATACCTCCAAAAATGGAGTTTTTTATGAATAAAAATAGCTTCTTAAAGATTTTTTTTGAAAAAATCCCCTCAAATGACAAAACGGCTTAAGCTTAAAAAATTTGCAGAAAAATATTTAAAAAAAATTGAACGAAATCGTAATGATGAGATTTTTGATGATGTTTTCTAACTTTTTTTAAAGATTGGTATACCAAAAACTTGAATAACTGAACCTAAACTCTTCCGATTTAGACTTAGGAGGTGTCGTTAGAAAGGTATTTTCTCTACCTTTTTATCTCTTTGCTAATAAACTCATTCAAAGGATGAAAGAGAAAGCTAGGATGAAGGAACGTCATTCAAAGTCGAATTAAGATGTGTTGGTATTTGAAAAAAAAAAATATTGGGACACGAATGACTTTTTGTTGGACAGAAATAAAAACAGTGTGAAAATACCTTTCAACTGAGTTCCCATAAGTCTAAATCAGAATAGTTTTGGCCCAGTTATTCAAGTTTTTCGTAAATTAATCTTTGAAAAAAGTAAAAAAACAGCATCAAAAATCTCATTCTTACGATTCCGTTTAAACGATTTTTAAATATTTTTATGCAGATATTTTAAGCTTAATCTGTTTTGTCATCTGAGGGGACCTTTTTCAAAAAGTTTTTTAAGAAACTATTTTTATTCATAAAAAACTACATTTTTGGAGGTATTTTCAAATCGGTCCAGCTCACTTAAATCTTAATATTTTCCCGAAATATTTTGGTGGATGTCTTAAAATATAATAAATTTTGTAATCCTGGCGGAAAAACCGCAACTTTTTTTGGTGATGCAGTCTAATATACATACATATGTACATATACGAATTTAATTTTGTGATGGCATTTTCGTAGATTTTACGAAAATCACACTACGATGGATTCAGTGGTATCCCCGAGCAAGGTGGCGTACCCTAGACTTAAGTTTAAAAATCGTATATACAATCCGATTTAGCTCAGGCAATTAATAACACTGGTTTACAGCGAAATTGTTCTTCCGAAAATCGAGTTAATTTTTTTTTCTATGGATACGTTTTCGAGATATTTGCAATTTACCGTTATTCAGCTTAAAACAAAAATTGGTTCCTTTTAATCACGTACATATATCTTACGAACCAATTTAAAAATCTTAATATAAAATGCGGCAAATGAAAGCCAATGAAATTCTCCATAAATTGTATATACATCACTTCGATAGGGCGTATAGTTTCTGACAAATTAATTAATCATTCCAGTTTTTTTTAATTTTTAATGAAAAAATTTAACTTTAACAGATAAAAATTTAAAAAATAACAGGTTCTGTGCCAAATTTTTGAATTTGATAAAAAATCAAGTTACTGATGAAGAAAATCGATGGATAAATACGAAATATGAGTGGTCAAATGAAAATGGGCAAAGATTTTTTGTATTAAATACGAGCAATAAAGCGTGTTACTCAGGTGTACGTGGCGTATGAGTAACACGCTTTACTGCTCGTATTTCATACGAAAAATCTTTGCGCATTTTCATTTGACCACTCATATTTCGTATTTATCCATCGATTTTCTTCATCAGTAACTTGAGTTTTTATCAAATTCAAAAATTTGGCACAGAACCTGTTATTTTTTTAATTTTTGATCTGTTAAAGTTAAATTTTTTCATTAAAAATTAAAAAAAAAAACTGGAATGATTAATTAATTTGTCAGAAACTATACGCCCTATCGAAAAGTGATGTATATACGGTTTATGGAGAATTTCATTGGGTTTCATTTTCCGTATTTTATATTAAGATTTTTAAATTGGTTCGTAAGATATACGTGATTAAAAGGAACCAGAGTTTGCTTTAAGCTGAATAACGGTAAATTGCAAATATCTCGAAAACGTATCCATAGAAAAAAATTAACTCGATTTTCGGAATCACCGAGGAATTGGATAGTGGCGTCTCGAGAACAAAAACCAAATTAAAATTTGTGATCCAGCGTGATTTAATCTCTAGGTTTCGATGGGCCGGAGTTTATTTTGTCGTATTTACTGCCTGATTTAATTAATGTTTGGCTCTATATGTAGTGTACATAGGTGCTTCTACTGCGGGGGGTGAAATAACACAAACGGCAATAACGCAAATTTGTGTTATTTCCCAATTGAATGTGAAATAACTCAAATTTGCTTTATTTCATTTCTCGTTGAGCAATAAGACCAACTTTTTAACTTAAAAATTGAGTAATAAAGTAAAATAGGACACATAGCTAGTCACCCAGTTACATTTGACAAAAAGTAGTAAGTGAATAAGTTAAATGGACGGATTTGTCAAAGTGTAAACAAGGCTTAAAGTTACGCAGTGTTACTCACCTCAGATTCACGACGAGAGGGGTTGCTCTTACTACTATTTGCCTTGTCAACACTCAATTCTTGTGCTTGTGCAGGAACTTTATTTATTTCAGTTGCTTCTTTGGGTTTTTGTTCGTCCTTTTCCTCTTCTTTTACCACTTCTGTTTGTGCAGCGGCACTACAATTGGGCCCATAATTGGACTTCTTAGAAGTCTTTTGCATTTTGGACTGCTCGTTTTTATCCACTACTACTTTGCGCTTCAATGCATTTAAACTATTACCTGAAAATGTAAATTTTTAGTTAAGAAAACGAGCGATTGTTTTTGCAATAACCAAATTACCGTCAATTTTTGCCTTATTAAATGCGAATGGGCTGCTTGCCAAGCTTTTTAAAACGTTGCTGAAATGGTTGCCAATATCGCGTGAGATTTCTTTTTGATGTTCCAGGTACTTTATGATGGAAGCATTCGTGCGATAAAAAATTTCCAATGCCTCAACCGACAATGTTGTAGGGTTACTGTGATTAATTTTAATTGGATAGGTGGCATTGCTTTCGTACAGATTATTGGCGGCCTATTAAATGTATATTTTTATTACTCGATGTGCATATGGTTATATTTTTTAGTGGCTATTTAATTACCTTCAAATAAAAATTCAAATAAGTTTTGGGATGATCTTTTTGCTTTTCGGCAATTTTCCCTAGCATATACTGGCACAACCATTTCTCTTCATGAGAGTCTTCGTTCTCTTCGCTACTGTTTTGTTCAGCATTTTGTAAAGCAGCAGCCAAGGAAAAGCAATTATGAGTAATATTCAAAACACGTCCTTTGCGCGCTTGCAGTAGTGATGTTCTAGACATTGTGAAAATGTAAAGAAGATATGCAGTGCATTATGGTTGCAGTGAAGTTTAAGAATCTTATTATAAACTTACTGTTCGGCTGTTAAATTTTCTGCTGAGCGCTTTAGTTGGCGTGAACAATAGGAATGAAGTGTGTACGTAAAAGAGCCATATTCTATCCATAGCAAGGTTTGCTGGCGATTTAAACATATGCACATTTCAAAACATCTTATGGTATCTTCTGATTCGGCTAAAATATTACTAGGACTGAATAGACATAAAAAAAAAAAACAGAAATTATACTCAAAATATAGCGTATTATATAAACATACTTCATGGGCGTCAATCCATTTAGTCTCGTTTCAATTTTGCTTGCTTTGGATAATGCAATACCCGCCCACGAATCGAAGCGTGTGGGGCTTATTGTTAAATCCAAGGTATAATACTTGATTGCTTTGGAAAAGTCACGATTTTTGAAGTAATAATCAGCCAACAAATAGAATATACAACGTATCTTATAGGGCAAAGAGGTATGTGCAGGTTCTAGTGAACCAAAATCATTGCCTTTAATAAACTCTAATATTTTTGTAGTTGCCGGCGACGGATCCACATCGGATGGCATTAGTGCGACAATTTTTAGGAAGAACTGTTCCAAATCCGCTGTAATCGACTCCAATTTATAAGAATTTATTTCAGGTAAGCACTCTGGCCTATACAAATCAAAAGCTTGCACCGCCTTCGCCCATGTCAATTCAACATTGGTGGCCTCGTGGTCCTCTAAATGTCGAGAACGCGCTTTCTTTTGCGGATAACCGTACAAACAAAAAGTAACCTAAAATATTTTTAAAGCTTATGATATGTACTCTTCTTTGTATGGTTCATTCGGCTCTTACTTGCTCCAAGTATTCATAGAGTGTATCACGACATGAGTCATAAAGTGGTGCTCTAATAATGGGTACGATAATATCTAAAATGTAATGTAAAAATGCGCCATCATTACGTGTACAGCACTGAAATTTGCCTAAAAAGTCGTGTGCTGTAAATAAAATCGAGAATGAGCAGGGTAAAGGTTCCTCTTCCTCTTCAGCATCATTATTAGACTTGGGTTTAGTAACCGTTAATGTGTTATTCTCATCCCTGGAATAAGAGAATTCTATTTAAAATTGTTCAGTTCTTTTATAAACACATTAAGCATAAAATGCAAAAGTTCAATAATTAAAATTTGTTTGGCGTCGAAATTTCAAATGCAATGTCATACAGACTCATGCCGTATTTCCACTGAGCGTTATATGAAAAACACTTTAATGGCAATTAGGCATTAAAAAATACCCGTCTGTCCCACTACGTTAAACAAATATTTGATGCTGTTGTTGTTTTAAAAGCATTTATCCCTCAAATTGGTTTTCATCCAACCCCCGTCAGATTTCCTTGAGTTACAAAGTGGCGGTTTCTGAATGCTCTAGCCACTTTTACCGCTTAAGTTGGTTGACGGTTCTCGTAATCCCGCTTTTAATAAATAGGAATTAATTTCGTTTCCACGTGCCAAAAAACACTAGTGGAAATTCGGCACTAAAAGGAATTCGATTGTTTTGCTAAAAAATGTTGACCTTCTAGCCCACCTAAATTGTTTACCTTAACATTATTTGATGTAATACAACAAAGGCTCGATTCATATTAAATTCGTGCTCTGGATTAATACTCTTATCGATAGGCTGAGTCGAATCCAAATGAAATGATAATACACAAATTGTATTTTGCACAAGACGTGCCAGCGTCTCATCTAAGCAAGAAACTGCAATCATAAAAAGTAACGTGGTTCGAGTTTTTAATTTTAATTAAACGGCATTTAAGTATATTTCCTCACCAATATCGTTGCCTTCGTTCAATATTATCACTTCTATATAAGAATAAATATAATTTAATGCAACGGACCACAATTCCTGTTGACGTGTCTTATCTGTTTCTTTTACATAACGTACAATGCAAAAGTGTAAGCATTTTTCGGCCCATTTCAAGCACTCCTGTGTGGAAAATAAACACAAATCTTTGTTTAAAGTAGACATTTAATAAATAATTTTGTTAACAAAACATGTACCTCATATGATGACATATTCCATAGTGATTGCAACAGAATTTCTACCTGAGTTTTGAAATTCTTAACCCAGTTGTCGCAGTCTTCTACTTCCACGTCATTAGATAAATTGTCTGTAATTATATTTACAACTTCTTGCCACTTTTCTTGTTCGAAAAGTTTGGGTACCTTGCCCAATGCAATACGCCTTAAAGTATATATGTATATATATTAGATTTTTGCATAATAATTTAAAACTTATGCAATGCAGACGAACCTCTTAAAATCGACCTGCGCATCCTGCACCACGTTTTTCGTTATGCACTTTGTACGTAAATTTGGTAAATGCAAAATGAACTCGTTTCCCTCGATAACTGATATCATATTCGCCATGTTTTCTAAACATGCTATGCATTTTTCAAGTTCATTTCGCATATCGAACCATAAAAACTCTATATTTACAAGACGTAGCTTATACGTATTAAATGCTTGACCGAGTGCAACATAAGCCGTGCCTGAGCGGAATGCCAATTGATCGAAAACTTGCTTCCATATGGGCGATAGTTCACTGAAAAGTTAATAAAATACAAATAATTTTCGTAAGCTGAAACTAAATTAGTTTAATACTCGTATTGATGTGCTTACTTATTCCCAGAGTTCCTGACAGTGTAGTCTAATTCCAAAAACAAAACAGAAATTCTATAAAATTGGTCAATAGAGTCAACGCTTTGTTGATTCCACGGTGAGCAGTCAAAGTTATCCCTGTAAAAGCATGCAAACATATACATATGTATACATATATTATAAAATGTTTACTTGAAGCGGCAAAGAAGCACACTCAACTTACAAGTAAACACAAAATATTTCCAGATATAAAACTCGTATATCTAAAGGCAAACCCTTTGTCCAATAAGATGATATACACTTTAGCCACTCAAATACCAACATGGATGGGTCAAAAGTTTTGGCCTGAACAAAGAAATTTTTTGAGTTACCGATTGAAAAAAGTCATACTTTAAAATATAAAATTATCTACTCATATCGAAGGTCCTGGGCAATAACAACAAAATCCAAGATTCAAAAAATAGAAACTGTTACCACTATTAAGTAGCTCTTGTCTCTAATCCTTGTCTAATCCATTTCCAACCCTTACTAAAGCAGTAAGGATTGCTAATATTGAGTAAGTACTAAATATTTGACATGCATTCTTCAAGGGTTAGAGACATGAGCCTCTTAAGAGTAGTAAGTTTTTATTTTTTGAATTTTGAATTGTGTCGTTATTGCACAGGACCACCGATATGTTTGCGATGGGTTCGGCGTTTTTTTTATTTATTTAATATTACCTCAATCTTAGCAACAAACTCCGTAAAAATATCGCTTGTCATTTCTTGAAATTCAGCATTTGACATTAGGCCGCTGCAAGCTTCGCATTTCTCATCACTATTTTTGATATCCTGCTTTGGGGTACCGAATGGCCATTCCTCGTCAATGTTAACACTAATTAGAACACAAATTTGTCTATGTATATAAATAAATTACACACTTCCTATATTTACTTACTCTGCGTACTTGACGAAAATTTTCCTCAATACCCCTTTTAATGAAGTGTCCACTTCAACTCGTTCGGAGGTAACCTTTTTCCTTGAACTATACCGTCGGTTTTTGTGCCAGCCCCATTGTTCGAGAAAATGTAAATCACTGCAACGTCTACGTGGCTTAGGTTTATTGTTTGTTTCTGAATTGGTCGTTGTTTTCTCATATGCCTCTGCTTCATCAGGCGAATTTTCGGCAATTTTTTTTGTTTGCTCTACATCACTTGTTGGTGGCGTGATGACTTGCAACTCAGTCGCATTTTGATTCGCAGCGTTAATACAATTTATGTCGGCTTCTTGTATCATATCGACGTTATCACTTGAATTGCTATTGGGTATAACACTTATTTCTTTTGGTTCGTTACATTCTTGCTGACCTGCCTTTCCTTCGTTGCTGCAATCCTTGCTCTCAGCTAATATATCCTTCAGTTCTAAAAGCACAATAAATGCCTTGCCATTTTCTTGCATATATCGGTAGAGTGATACAATGTATTGTCCCACAGAAACCCAGCTTAGCTCTTTAACTCTTATCTTTTGTACGACTTCCGCCGGTAATGCCATATTTTCGGCATCGTCTTCCTTATTTTCATTTCGGTATTTTCGCGGAAATGCACTTTCCTTCGTCCACGAAGGAAGTGGTTTCAAATTTTTGGGAAACGGGCCGTACATATTTTCACAAAGTGGCAGTGATGACTTAAAAATTTCAGAGATTTCATACAGTATTTTAGCTGCGCGTTCATAAGAAGGATCTCTGGAGTATAGTTTCAATGCATAGCCATATGCTCCGATTATATTGTGATTCTCGCAAAGTGTGCGTAGCATACCATCAGCGGCACTCCAATGTGAGGCATTGCAACGCAGGCATCTTTCAAAGGCATACTCAGCCAATTCTATAGCGTTGAGTTTTAAAGCCAATTGACCAAAACGGTGCAAAGTATATACGTCCGTATCGTCTAATTGTGTGGCCTAGAAGTAGAAGTGTAACTATTTAACTAAACCTTGATTTGGAGGTATATTAACATTACCATTATGTAGTTTTCCAATGCCAATTCATGCTCGTTTCTTTCTTCATGAATAAATGCTATATTTTTATGGCAATTATAACGAATCGTGCGTAATTTTCCGCTAGTGTCTTCTGCCAGAAGCTATGGTAATAAAAATGTTTAGCTATTATTATTATTATTATTATTAAGACCACAAAAGTTAAATAGTGAAAAGTAGACTGGTATATATAANGGGTAATAAAAATGTTTAGCTATTTATTAAGACCACAAAAGTTAAATAGTGAAAAGTAGACTGGTATATATAAAACTTTTAGGCTAAATAATCTTAAGGCATACCTCATTGAGAACTTGAGTTTCCAGCAATTGGCTCAACAATGAAAGTGCAGATTTCACATCTCCTTTGAATTTTAGATTTATTGCCTTAATGTATTCAGCCTCCGCAATCGCTTCCTAGACAAAGTATTAAAATTATACGCTCATGGGGCGCAAAAATTAAAATTAAATCACTCACCTGCGCCTCTCTGGTAACCACAATCTGATCCTCCGGTTCATCACTGCATTCTTCATTTAATGCAACTATTCGCATCATTTTGAGTTTCTGGTAGTTCAGTTAGATGGTATTTTTTGCAAAATAAAATAATAGCATCTCTTTTATCAAATTTGCTCCGGTCAAACCCAATAATCTCCTTATTTGTAAAAGGTCAATTATTTTTATTTGCAATAAAGATGATACAATTTGACAGATGTAACCGGCATTCGGAGGAAATAACATTTGTATAATCGATAACTTTGTTACTTTGCGAACTTTTAATATTTTTTAAATCATTTTACATAAAGCTTTGGCTATAATTATTATAATTATTAACAGTCTAAGAATTTCTTATTGTTTTTACTTATGTCAATTACGTTTTTATAGATTGTTTAATTTTTTATTAAATTGAAATTGTGTGGCAATGTTAGTTTGCAGTGAGGTACCCTGTGTTTTTCATTCTCGTTAAGCAGTTAACATTTGAGCAACTACTTTATCTTCTTGAAATTGGCGACAAGCATTGTCATTTGCTATTTGCCGAATCATTGTTGGATTTTTGTGTTTTAGCCAAGATGGTCAGTAAAGGCCTATAAAAATCGAAAACTTAACTAAAAAATATTTATTTACAGTTTCGAAACCAATATGATAGTGATGTTACTGTGTGGAGTCCACAGGGCCGCCTCCATCAAGTGGAGTATGCAATGGAGGCAGTCAAGCTTGGTTCGGCCACAGTGGGTCTTAAAAATTCTGACTTTGCTGTGCTAGTTGCTTTGCGCCGTGCCGCTTCCGATCTGTCTTCATCCCAGCGAAAAATAATCCCAATTGATGACCATTTGGGTATATCAATTGCAGGAATAACGGCCGATGCACGCGTGCTTAGCAATTATCTGCGCACGGAGTGTTTAAATTACAAATATGCATACGGCGCGAGATACCCAGTTGCACGTCTAATTTCAATGCTTGGCAACAAGATGCAGGTAACCACACAACGTTATGATCGACGCCCATATGGTGTGGGACTTTTAGTGGCCGGCTATGACGAAAGAGGTCCACACATTTTCCAAGTCGATCCTTCGGCAAACTTTTTCAATTGTAAAGCAATGTCAATTGGTTCACGCTCACAAAGTGCGCGTACATATTTAGAACGCAACATAAGTGCGAAAGGTCGTGATTTTGTCTGCACAAAAGACGAGCTTATATGCCACGGTATACAAGCTATACGTGGTTCGCTGCCTAATGACGAAGATAGCGAATCGCCACTGCTGGTAAGTTGAATATGTAGAACATGATTTGAACTTTGCTACAAAAATTTTAATACATTTGCTTTTCTAGAATATTTCTATTGCTATTGTGGGCAAAGACCAACCCTTCAAGATTTTGGACGATGTGGAAAGTAAGAAGTATTTGGATATGGCGAAGAAATTGCCAGCACCCCCGGCACCAGCTGATGATGATGTACCAGCCACGGGCGGGGACGATGATGATAAACCTGATGACTCGCCCCCAGACCCACAAGTACTAGTAGCAACAATGGAGCGCTAAAACTGAAATTTACATTTCGGTGCATTTCGGTTAAATATTATAATAAATAAAAAACTTTAGTTTTGTGGAATGCTGTAAGCTCGCTAATTTTTTAAACAAGTCGTGTTTTTTAAGCTTCAACATTTTCACTTCCGGGTGAATTTCAACCCCTGCCAATTTGAATTCAGATCGAATATGATTGAAATTCACTTGGAAGTACGTTGCACAATCTGGCTGATTAAAACCATATGCGCTGTGCTAACGATAGTCTATCCACATTATCCTAACGATCAAAATACATAAAATGTTTGTTAATTCCTGACGCCTGTTAACCGGCAGCTGATATTTCGGCACGGAATTTATGAAATCTGACACCGGCTTATGTGAAAGATGTAGTATCTACAACAGGCGGTCGGTCTGAGTTGCACACAGAAAGAAAAGTTCTATAAACAGCTTGACCGCG